CCCCCCCACAAGCTGGAGGTGCTCAGCAGGCCCCCCGCCCCGGGCCTGCTCCCCGGAGTCCACTCCCCACATGACCGGGCCCAGCCCCTCTTCTCCAGCTCAGGTAAGGCCGCCTGGGGCTGGTGCCGGGGGGGCACCTGTTGCTCCCCCAGCCATCGCGCCCCAGAGGGACCTGCGCCCGCCCCCCTCCTTCCAGGGCTTGTCTCTGACGCCCTCCCCAGCCCGCCTCCCTCCCAGGGAGGGTTTTGGCTTCTCATTGGAGGTAGAAACTGCCCCGGGACCCCGTGTTCCCCCGCCGCAGCCACACCAGTCACGCTGTGTCGGGGTCTCTGGGTGCACCCAGATTCGAGGACTCCCTAGCAGGACTCAGCGTACACACCCCCAGGGCTGAGACGTCACAGTGAAGCGACAGCTGACTCAGCCAAGCGCAGGCCTGCGGGTGTGCCGGGCGAGGCAGCAGCCAATGAGCCTGTTCTCCCAGCACCGAACTGGCACCACCTGTGGGTGCCGCCTCCGGGGCAGCTCCGGGACCAGCGCCCAGGCTTCGGGGGGCACAGACCACACTGCAGGCTCGAGGGGGGTTCAGCTCAGGCACAGGGTTTGCACAGCAGCCCTTCCTCTGAGATAAAGGGGAGGCCTCGGGCCCCAGAGCCCCCCCCCACGGGCCGGTGTGAGCACAGGCCTCGGCCACAGCTCCTCCTCCCCAGCTGCCTCGATGGCACCTCCAAGTTCCCTCCCTTCCCCGTTCTCCCTCCCCTCACTGCCGCCTGCTGTCCCCTTACATGTGGGTGGGTCTGTGAGGCCAGCCCGGTCACCTGGCTGGGGCTGGGGTGCAGGGGTCACCAGGTCGGCCACTTTGCAGCAGTCTGCTGGCCTCCAGACCCAGCTGAGCAGCGGCCTCCCCGGTGTCTGATCCTGCAGACCAGGGGCCTGGTCCGTGGGGGCTGCAGCCCTGTTCGCTGGCACCCCCACGCCGTGTTCCGTGGGCCCAGCCGTGGCTCTGAGCTTGGAGCCTGAGCTGCCTGCCCCCAGCCGGTCCTGCTCTTTAGCCGCTTCCCCCAGGGCAGGCCCAGCCCAGGCTAGGCCCTCCGGGTGCCCCCCTGCTGGTCGGGCATTGCCCTGGGCTGGGGTCAGGCTGCTGTCTCTCCTGAGTCCCCCACGGTCCTTCCTCAGGGGCCTCCTTTCCCGGCGCTGCCTCCCTCCCCCCCTCCCCAGCCACGCCCCCACCCGACACCGTTCCCATCAGCACTGGGCGGGCTGGTTCTTGCTTCTGGGTTGATTTCTTTGGCTTGTGAGTCACTTAGAAGCACGTGTAACTGTAGCTGAGGGCCCGGGGGGATGGGACACCGCTGTCCCATGGTTGGGGCCCAAAGATGGAGCTGGGGGACTCCCATCACGGTCTTCACAGAAACCCCCTGGAGTGAAGGGCATGCTCCCCGCCTGGCGGCCTCGAGGTTCGGTTCAGGGGCGGCCGGGGCACAGGGCGGGGCTGCCTTTCGCGGCCCTAACTCGGGGGCCACGACCAAACCCGCTGGGTGACCAGGCTCGTCTGTTAGCTTCTGTCAGGGTCTCGATCACGGGTGCTGGGAGCAGCCCACGAAGGCCCGGCCTCTGTCCCGGGGTGCACCCCCTCCTGTGCCCCTGGGGTCCTCCTGCCGGGCCCCTTCGAGGCGGGTGGGGGTTCCTAGAGAAACCTGGAGCCCCGCCGGGAACGAGCCGACAGGTGCTGCCAGCTCCAACCTGCCCCCAGGTGCTGCCCATCCCGCCGCCAGCCATTTCGGCCCCTCAGCCCATCCCGGCAGCTTCCTGCCCACAGGTCACCTGGCAGGTAGGTGCGCCCAAGTCGGTGTGATGGGGTGGCCTCGGGAACCCTCGGGGGTGGGAGGTGACCCGAGAACCAGGGCCTCTCCCACTGCACAGCCCGCCCCTGTCGGTCCCGGGGCCACAGGGGAGGGCACCAGGCAGGAGCCACCAGGACCTGAGCCCCGCCCGCTGCCCCGCAGACCCTTTCAGCAGGACAAGCACCTTCGGGGGCCTGGGGAGCCTGGGCAGCGCCGCCTTCGGAGGCCTGGGCAGCCACGCACTGAGTGAGTGACCTGCCCACACGTGTGTCCTCCCTCCCCCTCTGTGGGCTTCCCCACGGGGTCTGGGCTGCACCCGCTCACTGTCCTTAACCCCTGGGGACACAGCTGGGGTCCGGCAGCCCTGTGTGGGGGACAGTCCCCTGGCCTCATGTCCCCCCACCCCCCAGCTGCAGGCAGCAGCCTCTTTGCCCCCAAGGAGGGCTCCACACTGCACGGCCTGCCCAGCCCCCAGGAGGCCTGGAGCCGGCTGCACCGGGCGCCCCCGTCCTTCCCCACGCCGCCCCCCTGGCCCAAGCCTGTGGACACGGAGCGGGTCTCAGCCCTGACCAACCACGACCGAGAGCCGGACAAGGGCCGGGAGGCTCGGGAGCGGTGAGTGGGCCCCTGGAGACCTCCCTCCCCCAGGGGCTGAAGCTGGACCCTCAGAGCAGGGAGGACCCCTCATGGGATCTCGCAGGAGCCGTGGGGTCGTCTTTCCAGAGGAGGGGGCAGCAGGGAGGGGGCCTCTGGGGGAGCCGGGGTCCCCGGGGCAGGGCAGCCCTGGCTCTGGGGGGACCAGGGAGCTGCCACCTCACCCAGGTGCTGAGCCACCAGGGCCTGGTCTGGGAGGAACCTGAGGGGCCCCTGGCTGGGGCGGGAGGAGGAGCAGCAGAGGAACCCCAGGGTCCTGCAGGGGTTGTGGGCTGACGCCGTGGACGGGAGAGAGGGGCTCCCGCAGGCCCCTCCGCCCAGGCCCCCTCCCCACGTTCCCCAGAACCTTGTATGGGGCCGGCAGGCGCTGGGCCAAGGTGGGGGTGGTGGCAGGCAGCTTGCTTTGGGGGAGAAGTCTGTCTGCCCTGCAACTGAGGGGGTGTCTGTCACTCCAGGGACCTCCTGCTTCGGGGTCCGGCCGATCCGCGGGTAA